TGGCCGTATAGACAAGTTTTGGATTAAATCAACCCTTTAGCTTCCTCCAGCAGTGTTTTCTGCTCACATCTTTCTTCACACACCATGTCCAGCTCCGTTTTCCCTAAGACAAAGCTCAGACTCGAGGGCCCCCACGTGTGTTTCCATGACCCACATGCCTCCAGTTCTTTCTCACGAACTCTTTTCCCACTGCCTCCACCTTTGCTCCTGCTGTTCCCTGCGCCTGGGAGCTCTGCTCCCCAGCCCCCTCCCACCTGCCAAACCACCCAGGCCCCTGCCTTCCAGGTCAGCTGCTTTGCTGCTTCCCAAACCCTTGCAAGAGCAGCTCAGCATAGTGGATGAGGCATCCATGCTGGTGTTGGACCTGTGTCCACATCCCAGTTCCACCTCGCGCTAGCTCTGTGACCTAGGGAATCAGAACTCACTGAAGCATTACGAGGATTAAAGGCAAGAACCTAAGGGAAGGGCCAAATTCCTTGCCTGGTGTTGACTTGAGGCCCAGGAAGTGTTAGAGGTTCCTTTCCTCCTTTTTAGAGACTCCTGGTAAATGTCAGTAATGAATTTTCTCACCCTCATTTGGATGAAAGAGGAAAAATACATCTTCCTGCTTAATCATGTGGGACTAAACTAGGAAGATTACAAGAATATCGCTGAGCCATGAGCTCAGAGGGAGAAAAGCTCAATAATGATTTGTCTGCCTATTTTTAATAAAATCCTGCCAGCGGAGCTGAATCTTTGCCCTCAGAAAAAGCTCCACTCTGCTGCAGTGGTGTCTGAGCTGCTGTTGGAAGCACGACAGGGTGACCTTGAGCAGAGCTGTGTGGGAAGCAGACTCCCCAATGGGCTCCTGCAGCTGATGGAGGCTGAGGATCATGGAGGGGTCTCCTGCCCCTCCACTGCCACCTGTCCTGGTGGAATGCCAAATATCACTGCCCCTCTCAAGCCTCCCTTGGCTATGGCTGAATGGTGGTGCCTAGTCAGGTGCCAGTACCAGCTGTCTTGCCCACCTTCCCTGGCCAGACAGAGAGTGGCCAGGTAGATGGTATGTAAGCCTCCATTTCCAGGTTCCAGCACCTTCTACCCAGGGCTGTTGTGGAGGGCAAGCCTGGGGTGAGGAAGGGGCTTCTGTCCTTCAAGGGGAGGAGAGCTTAGCATAGATCAGCCATGACCCCTGAGTCTCCTTCATGCAGTGCTGTGACAGGCTGGGCAAAGGCAGACAGGGGAGCTCTCAAACATAAGCTCTGCCTTGGGCCCTAGGAAGCTGCCCCAAGGTCAGGTGTGAAGGATGCATTTCCCTGGCATTCCTGGTGGCCACTAGTGTTGCCCTGACAACTGGTCAGTCCCCTGCAGGCTGGTGAGCTCAGGAGCCTCAGAGTCCGGGGTCAGGTCACAGGCCCGGCAGTCCGAGAATTTCCCATGGTAGAGCTGAGAGAGGGCACACCATCCAGAAATGAGGAGCACAGATGTATGTCCCAGAGTTCTGTGGAAGCTGGAGAAGGATGTGAGGGGCTCTGGGCACATGGGGAACCATCCGTGGTAGAGGGCTAGGAACTGTTTGGGGATGGGGCTAGTGTCCTCCCTCTCCTGATGCCAAGGGTGACAGGGCACATCTTTAGGCATTGAGGATACCATTCTGACTAGCAGTGCACTTTGGAGAGGAGAATGGGCTGGAAGATGGACTGATTCCACAGGCTAGTACTAATCCACCACCAGAGGCCACTTGTCACAAGAATGACAGCTTGGCATTAGAAGAGATCACAAGGATCTCTGAACTCCCACTGACCACATCAACTTCCTGTTCCCTTAGTGACTTGTTGGGGTTCCTCTGACTCTTCTTGCCCCACTCAGCGGCCTAGGGAAGAACCTACTGGGAAGGAGGACTAGCGTCTTCCCACTTATTCCTGCCCTGCTCCCTGATGTTCACTTGTGGTACTATCTGTGGTTCGCCAGTGGGCCCTGGGGTCCTGAGGATGTGGGGGCTTTCCTCGCAGAAAGGAGGATGCTGTGTACCCCCCCAATTTTAGCTTCCACTTGCTAGATCGAGGTTGCCCCTCTTTTCCCTCTGTGGGTCCCTTAGTAGTTACTGGCCTCAGAACTGATCCTCAAGGTGTGGGAGCCCCCCCACTTCTCACCTTCACATGAAAGTTAAGGGGAGACACAGAGCAACTGGAAAGCCCTTCACAGACTAATTTCTATCAGAAACTCACAGGGCATTTTCAGGTCACAATGAGCAGAGACCTTGGGTCTTCCAGAAATGTGGCAATTCTGACACCAGCTGGTATCTTGCAATTCACTGTCCAGCATTGGCCTCAGACTGTAAAGGCACAGTCTCCAAGATTGCCTCCCTTCTGACACTAGCCCAAGTGGGGTCCCCAGAACATCTGTACTTCTGATCAAATAGGTACAAATCCAGGGGGTTCCCAGTACCCCTCAGGCTCAGTAATTGGACAGAACCTCTCACAGGACTCAGAAAAGCATTCTACTTACAATTCCTGTTTTATTAAAGGCTGTAAGTTGGGACCAGCCAAATAAAGAGGCACATAGGGAATGGGAGAGTGCCTGTGCCCTCTCCTTGTGGCATCAGAGCCTGTCCCTTCCCAGACACTTCAACATGTTGACCGCCACAGTGCCCTGGTGGTAGAGCTTTGGCTGGAATTTCATTTGCAGGCATGACTGGTTGAGCATCCACCATGTGCTAGAAGTCAATCTCCAGCCTCTCTCCCTTCCCTGGGGGTTAGACTGGCTCCAGTCCCCAACCCTCTGGTCACATGGTTAGCAGACCCATCCTGAGGCTATCCAGGGCCGTTCATTAGGTGTGATGGAAGGACTCAGGAATAGCAAAGACTCCCCTATCACTCAGGAAATTTCACACCAGGCACTTAGAGCCCCCATCTCAGATAGAAAGGCGTCTCATTCTTAATTTTACAACAGTGGTAATAGTATTTTTCTCCATCATCACTCTGGAAACTGCTTCACACTTTCATTAGCTTATTTGATTCTTACTACAGCTCTTTCTGATTTTTTTTTTTTTTTGGCAGTACTGGAGTTTGAACTCAGGGCCTCTTGTCTGCTAGGCAAGCAGTCTACCACTTGAGCCACAACCCAGCCCTCTCTGGTGTCTTTTATATTATACCCATTCTAAACTAAGGAATTTTGGGGCTAGACATGGTGGTGCACATGTGTGATCCTGATCCAGGTAATCAGGAGGTAGAGATAGGAGGATCACAGTCCAAGGCTGGCCAGGGCAAAAGCACATGACCCTATCTGAAAAACAAACTAAAAACAGAAGGACTATGGGCATGATTCAAGTGGTAGAATGCTTGTCTAGCAAGCAAGAGGCCCTGAGTTCAATCCCAGGACTGCCAAAAACAAAACCAAAATGAGGAACTGAGGTCCAGAGGAGTTATGGCCACCTCAAGATGGCACAGTTAAAAGGTACCCCAGTAGGATTTGAACTCAGATGACCAATTCTGAGTCAAAGTTGGAGTCCTTGATTTTAACCCAAATGCAGATTATCAGATGACTGTCTGCCCCCACCTTGGCCAGCATTGGTGGTTGGGAGATGATAGCACTTTTCTGTCACATGGGCTTCTACATTGGCAAAGGGCTTTTTGAAGGGGGCCCATTGGGTTGCTCTGGTCCACCCAGGCAGTGACCAGCCAACCTCCCTACCAGGCACAGCCTGGACGTGCCTGCTGGCCACGGGAGAGGGCAGAATGGGCAGCTCCTGGCCTTCAGCCATTTTGCTTTTCCTGTCAGAGTTACCTGTCTCCAGCCCAGAGTCATTAGCCTGGCAGGTCCCCTGTGAGCCTCCCAGTAATGGGAGAGTGTAGAGAAGTACTTCATGCCAGGCCCCATCTCACATGTCTCCTTTTTGTCCTTCTTCCTTTCCCCGATGGCTAGAAACACAGCAGGTGACATTCCTGCCACTGCCAGGCCCCAGAGGACCTGCACGGGGTTAGGTCAGAAGCCAAACCGTGCAGTTTGGGAAATTAGCAGCATTTGTGGGATTCCCAAGAGACTCTGGGTTCTCGGCCATACCAGCCGTGCTCCGGTGGGGATACTCCTGCCCTGCGTGGAGTGTTCATGGATGGGCGGGCGAGCCTGCAGCGGTCACAGTGACTGGGAATTGTCAGGAACCCAGCCGGGTCCTGGGATGCCATAGATCCTGTGCTGAGCTGCACAGTCAGGCGCGTGCTAAGGAGAATAGCCCAGCTCACGAGAGACCCTGGGAAATAGCCGCTCACTTCTCCTGCATCCTTGGGAAGCTCCTTCCTCAGGATGCCCAGACTGAATGAATGGGAAACACACTGAGGTGATACAGCCAGGTCACACAGGCAGGTGTAAGAGGAGCATCTTGTGGAGCCCATTGCTCTGATTCTTTGCACACAGCTGTCTCACATCAGCTGGGCTGCCCTGGGTCAAGGAAGACCTAGTTTGGGGAATTCATGGGGCAGTGGGAGGGCTCCTCTTCTGTGGCACCTTGGTACCTGGCAGGAACTTTCCTGCAACCTACTTGGCACAGAAGCTTGCTATTCAGGAGGCAAAGAGATTGAGAGAATAGTGGTTCGTGGCCAGCCTGGCAAAGTTAGCAAGAACCATCTCAAAAAACAAACCAGGCATGGTGGGTGTGTCTGTAATCACAGCTACACTGAAGGTTTGGGTAGGAGAATTGAATTGCAGTCTAGGCTGCCCTGGCATTGTGACTTGCCTATGAGGCTCTGAATTCAAACTGTAGTGCTGCAGAGAGAGAGAGAGAGAGAGAGAGAGAGAGAGAGAGAGAGAGGAGAGGAGAGAGGGAGAAGGAGAGAGAGAGAGAGAGAGAAGAAAGAGAAACTCAGAGCTTCCCTTGAGGCTTCCCACTAGGGGCCTACCTCCCTCTTGTCTATGTCTGCAACTCAGCCTTTTTGTTTGGTGCTGACTTTCTTCAAATACAGTGTGTTTAGAAGAACCTGACCATGGAGATCTTATGACTGAACACATCTCTTCTTGTTTTGCAGTTGGGAAGACGTCTCTGATCACAAGGTTCATGTATGACAGCTTCGACAACACATACCAGGTGAGGTCCCAGGTGTCCGCCCTCCACCCCACCCACTTCCCCGGTGTCTGTGTCCATCACCACTGCCTGAGACCACCACTGGCCTCTCTCTGGAGCTGGCCAAGAGGGGGTCAGAGTGGGATGGCCCTGGTCCCTGGGATGTCTTTTTGCATTGAAGCTTTCCTCTTGAGTACTGGCCCAAGCGGGTAAAGATCTTCTGAAAATCCAGACATCAAAAAGGAAGCATTTTCCAGAGAGAAATTCTGAAAATAGAAGGGAACACCTTTTAGTCTGGGTGCCCTGCTCTCCCCTGCAGGACTGAGCCATTCAGGCATGGCTCTCCGGGAAACCTGGGAGAGGTCAAGTGTGCAGTGCTGGGAGAGCTTGGGCCTCCCATGTGTTGTGCTTATTGGGGCCTCACACACACAGCCTTCTCTCCATACCCATGTGTGCATGCACACCCCAGAGCTCCCACACAGCTCTCTCACATACAGCTCTCACACACACAGCACTGTCTCTCTCTCTCACACACACACACACACACACAGCATCGCCAAAGGTTCTTGCACTGGAAAGGCTGGCGTGAGGGGCTTGTCCTAGCTACATGGACAGGAGAGTGGACCGAATGACTTCTGTGGCGCCTGGCTCTGGAATGGGGTCGGGGTCAAACAGGCCCACGGTGCTCCTGGCACCACAGGTGAGAGGGGAGGCTTGTGTAAGTGAAGTGAATTTCCCTTGCAACTATAGCTTTTTACAAAAGGCATAAACGGATTTCAGCTATTAAGAAAAAAGGTACTGTTTTCTTTCTTAGGATAGAGACAAATACTAGTGCATTTTTCTGGGCTGGGCACTCTGGGTAACTGAGGGAATGGCTGTTCTGCTTCAGGACATCTCGGGCCTTTACTTCATTGTGTGGGGCTTCAGTTTGCTGAAAGCAAATGTGGCCTTTGGTCACAGAACCCCTTTGTCATCGTGTTCTCAAGGACAAATATTTATAGAGATTCACCAGTGACCGCTGTTCTAAGATGTTCCTCTTCACTGTGGGTGTGGAACAGCTCACTGTGGTTCCAGTTCTGTGCCTGCTTTTCAGTCTGCCTGTCCCCTCTGAACCAGGGCCCTCTCAAATGCCCTGAGAGAGCCCCCTCTCTGCATCCCTCTAATTTTTACTTTCTGTGTGGTCTCAAACCCTGATCACCTCGATCAGGCAGGTTAGGAACCGCCTGGGGAGAAAGAAGGAGGGTGAGACTCTGGGAGAGGGGCCTGGGCTTGCGCAGCTGAGGCCAGGGGTTAGACATTGACCTTGACTATGACTTGTCTTCCCCAGGCCAGGGCTTTGTGCCACTGGGGCTCTTCTCTCATCATAAGGGGAGTTCTTTGTACGCTGTGGACTGTCACCTCTAGCAGACGCCCTCCTGAAGTCTAGCTTGGTACTCGTGTGTACACTTGTGTGTGTGTGTGCATGAGTATTGTGCGTGTGTGTATTGTGTGCATCCTCATATATTATTTTTATTATTTGATGTTTTAATATCAAGTTTCTTACCATGCCTCCAGTTGCATCCCATTGAAAACAGAGTGATTCTTGGCTGGTCTCTGTGCTTGGCAGGGGTGGGTGAAACTGCTTTGAAATCTTACCCCCCCTCCATCTCCAGCATCACCCCCACTGCACACTGCTCGTCACATACCCGCAGTCCTGCCAGCCTCTGCTTGCTGCTCCCTGCCTGGTGGTACTGGCCCCTTGGTTCCTGTCATTGCCCCTACTGGGTGCCCTTTCCTCTGCTGTTCTCTGCTATGAGGTCTTCTGACTCGTGGGGTCAAGAGCACCTGTTGCACTGAGCGCTGAGGCCTGGCTGCCCTCCATGATGCTCTGCTTCGGCCTCCAAGTCTCTGCTTCCAGCTCTCAGCTGGGCTCTGGCTGGACCAAGGCCAGGACCCCTCGCACCGACCACTGTACAGGGCCACAGATGCCAGTCGGCACTGAAGTGGCTTGGAAAGGCTCTGTTCACCTTGGTTTTCAGATGCCATCAGACTGAGAGGCCCCCAAGGCCCAATGTCATGGTGAGATGAAAGAAATCGCAGAGAGAAGTCACTGCCCTCCCCATGGTCGCAGGACTGTCTGGCAGTCGGTAGAAGTCCTGTCCTACAGCCTTTAAAATGGTAACTAGGCAGGGGAGCTGGGCTCCAATTCTGTGCACACTCCAGCTTGTTTTAATGAATTCTCTGGAGATGGAGAGAGACGTGTTTCTGGGTTTATTTTGTTTTTCTTTGCACAGTTCAGAGGTGCATGGGAAGTAGACAAGATCCCCAAGGGCTTTGGGGGATGGACTTTACAGTGACCATCCCTGTCAGCCCTCCACCAGTATCCTGTCCATCAGTCAGTACAGTGTGGCAGAACTGTCCCTACCCTGATCAGCTGAGGTCCCCAGACAATTCCCAGGATGGAATCCTCCCTTCCTCCCTCCCTCCCTCTTCTCTGTGCCAGGCCCCCCCCCCCCCGCCACTTCCCATTCACTTACTCCAACAACACTTATTTGTCCAGTGTGGTGAATATGCGCCTGGAGAAGCAGTAGGAGAAAGTGGCCTGGCCACAGAACCTGGCTTGCCTCAGCAAGGGGCAGGGGGCAGAGGCCTGTCCTGGGTTTCAGTCAGTAAGGCCCGCCTCAGCCTGTGCTGAGCATGAAGCCCTGGGTGTGCCCAGCTGGAGTGTGCTGAACCTCTCGGAAAGTCCTGCTCACCTGGCAGGCCCAGGTGAGCTCCACCCAGCTGTCCCTGGGGGCCTCGAGGAAGCAGGTCCTCTGCTTACTTTTGTGGTGCACGTACCTCCCCACCCCCAAACACACACACACACTCTTGTTCTCCTTTTGTCACTCATCTCTCCAACCTGTCACCACCCTGCCTATCTCCCCATCTAAATCCACTCACTTGCAGAAATGAAAGAAAAAAAAAAAACAAGACTTACAGCCAGACAAGATTCAAGTCTGTGATGATTCCCTTATGGGAAACCCATCTAAGAAATTGCTTTGGAAGTGCACCGTAGGAAAAACCTTCTGAACCTGCATTGTTGAGACTTGGTCCTCTGTGTGAGCCTGTCCCCCTCTTCTCCTCCCCTCCCACAGGCCTGGGAAACCCCCACAGGTCCGGGGGCATGGGGGACCTGTGAAACCTGCAGTGGAGCCCTGAATATGAGGTGTGAGGCCTCTGCAGGCAGCTGCTGTGAGCTGGAGGGGAGGGTGTGGATGCAGTGCTCTGCAGGGTCTCTTTCCTGGCTGCACGCTAGCCTTTACCTACTGGGGCGATGGCTGGTGAGTCTCAGGCTGGCTCAGGCTTTAGTATTTCTGAAAACCCAGAGGCAATGGAGATAAACTTACAGTCAAAGCCAGGGTCCACCCTGTGGGCTCCGAATCTCAAACCATGGCACAAGTTAGGAAACCATGGACCTAACTGGCTGGCCCTGGGTCCCTGGCCTGAAGGCCCTGCTCTGCCCCTCTCAGAAAGACACGCCTCTAGGATGGGGTAGTGTTTCCAGACTGTAGAGTTTGTGCCTGGACCCACCTCGGTCCCACTAAGTGTTTGTGAGGGGAATAAAATGGCTGTCACCATGTGGCATCTACCGCAGGCCAAGGAGTTTCTGAGAAGCTCTGACCTGTCTGTCGCCGGTCCTCACTGTCACTCCTGCCTGCTCACCATTAGGCTTTTCACTCTCACTTCCTGGAGCTGCCACAACAAATCCCCACAAGCTTGGTGGCTTCAAGCAATGGAAATATACTGTCATAGTTCCAGGGTCTGTAGTCTTCTTTGGAGGGGAGTCATGGTCTTTCAAAAGATATTAGGGCTGCCTTTCTTGCCTTCCCCAGCTCTGGTGGCCCTGGACTCTCCTGGACATGGAGCTGCATGACTCCAGTCTCTGCGCGCGCACACACACACACACACACACACACACACACACACCCTGGATGATGGGTTGGGCTGGATTCTCCTGGGGTCCCTCGGGGTGTGCTGTGGGGAGAAGGTACCAGCTGCCCCACCTGGTACTTCAGCACTGGATGTGGCTCTCCTGCCTCTTCCTGATCACATGCTCCATGCTACGGTCACAGAGCCCCTCCCCCAGCTCTGGGCACCAACAGGCCACTCATTTGACAAACAGCACCTTCTCTTCATGGTGGAGACACATGTCTGTATACATGCGTGCACACACACACAGAACGCAGGGTCCCAACCCCATGGCCTTTCCTGAATGCTTCTCCTTTGGCATGCCCTCATTCCTCCCTCCAGTGTGTTTGCATCAAATCCTGTCTCCTCACCTGCTGCACCCTTGATCTCTGGCTTATCTGGAGCTCTGCACACCCCAGGGACCCCAGCACTAGCACACGGTTCTCCTGCCACTCTTTTCATGGGCTTCAGGCACTAATGCAGAAGGCAGGGGAAGCGGCGGGGGGTGGGGTACTTGGATGACAGCAGTGGCAAGGCAACCAGAAGTAGGAATGTGGTTAGCTTGTATTCGAGGAATAGCTCATATAGGTCTTAGAGTCTAAATGATGAAAAATTCTGGGCCAAAGCGTGGCTGATGCAAGCATACATTAAGTGCTCTATAGAGAAGCCAAAGCAAAAATAATGGCAACTCTACAGCAAACTAAATTGACAAGGATGAAGTGAAAGGAGCAACAGCTTGCCAGCGGCGTCCTTATGGGAGGTGGAGAGTGTCGGAGCTGTCCTGTCTCTGCGTACACATCTGCACACTGCTTCCAACTCTGCCAGGTGCACTTGACCCCCTAGACTGCTGGTAGAACACTGAACTCTGGCCTGTTACTCCTACATGTGATCTTATCGTGTTTATGCAGTGGAGTTCTATCTTTTGCAAATATTAACATCCTGGTATCAAATGTGAAGACAATTGTATATAGTAGAATCTGAGTACCAGTCATTGTGGCAAGAGACTGTGCTCAGAGACCTGCTGGGACACCGCCAGCCTCCCAGGTGCTCCTTCTGGAATCTACCTGGGACTGTTCCATTACAGACTCGCCCAG